CGGAATTCCTCGACAGTCATTTTGACTGCAACTGTCAAAGTACAATGCTCAAAGTTCAAAATGTGAAATTGATGGGCTTTGATGCAAACTGTTGTTCTTGCCGTCAATAAACATAGCATTGATGCACACCAGTGGGGTTTTCCAGAAAGCTGGGTTAACTTAATATTTGAGAAATAACCTCTGGGTTGATTTACCCCAAACCAGCATACCGTGATTAGAATATGTCGGTTCCAAAACACCTGAGAAAGAGTTGATTAATCAACCCCCAATTGGTTACCAAAAGTTAATGCGCGTGCATGGAGCATAAATAAAGACGTGCTCAATGAATCACCGATTTCACGAGTCACTATAAAAACTCAAAGCGAAAAAAAAGAGAGCGGCATATTTCACAGAGGCGGAGTTGGAGGTTTTAATGTATTCTTATGAAGAGTTTAAGCGAATAATATTATAAAAAAGCAATACAGCTTCATCGGCTAAAGAAAGAGAGTTGGCTTGGCAAAAAATAATGGACAGAGTAAATGCATGAGTGTATTAAATTACAAATGTGTTATTGTCTCCCATTTTATTATAATGCAACAATTAAATGTGAAATATATATATATATATATATATATATATATATATATATATATATATATATATATATATATATATATATATTCTTATTTAATAAGGTAATCCTTTTGCAGCCAAAAGAATTTTAAGTCAAGTTAAAATGAAACAAACAATCTGCAAAAAGGTAATATTTGATTACACGGTTACTGAACTATTGCCTTGCCTTGCTTTAATAAAGTGCGATAAGTGGTTGTTGGCATTCAAGGGGGCAATTCATCACACACACCAAACACCACAAGTGATGGTGAAAAAAATGGTGAAATGTAAGGTTTACCTCTTGATTTGTTTTCATTTTTTGACTTGACTATCTCTGTCACTTTGAACATGCTTATTTTTTTTATTATGCAGGCTTATTTTATTTAACTGCATATGATGTATAGACTACTGTGATCTTAGCTGTATTACTCTGACATGTTACTCTTTTATGTATTTTTTGTTTTTCTTTGATAATATTGAGAATTTTATGGGTTGTGTGGTCTTATAGATACCTTTGGACATATTGTATTATTGGACCCTCCAGAAAGCCTGTTATAGTTGTAAGTGATTGGTAGTTTGGAAGCTTTAGTTGCTTTTTATTTATTTATTTATTTATTTATTTATTTATTTTTTCATTTTGTCAGAGAATGAAAACTTGCATATTTCCCGTGTAGGATGAACATGACAATGAAGAGACCACATCTGCTGTGACAGAAGTGGACAATGCTGCTAGGTCCACTAAGGTATAATGCATACCATTATAATGCATGGCCCCCCTTTTGCATCAGAGTAACAAACTGCCATTGTCATTTTACAGTACAAACCTAGGGATTTGCCCACAGATGAAGGTCCTTCAACCACAATCCTAGCAATGTAAGAATTTGTGTCCAGTTGTCCATATTTTACATTTTATTGTCTGACCAAACAATCCCATTTTTCCCCATTCCTAGTTCCCAGCAAAAGAGCTGTATAAGGTCTATCTTCCAAAACAAATAAGAAAAAGTGACATGGAGATGGACCTTTTACAGATTTAAATAGAAGGAGAAAAGGCTACTCATTATAAAAGCAGCACTTGAAATTCAATTACTGGAGCATCGCCTCAGGGTGAAAACTGTGAATATTAATCTGTTACATGTTAAAAGTGTGTGTGTGTATATATATATATATATATATATATATATATATATATATATATATATATATATATATATATAATTATATACAGTCCTTGTCTGACTTATTTTTTAGCACTTTAAACAAATTAAAATTCATATTAACTCTTTTCTAATTTAAAATAAATACTTTCCCTATTGCACTATTTACATTTCATAATTCTCCACGGTTTCTTCTTCCAACAAAAATAACATTTTCCAGTCAGATGTGTTTTCATTTTGTACAATGTACTGTTGAGTCCTGTATGTCAAAATCTAATTATACTCTGTTCTCCCCTACTTCTACTTGTTTTTCTTCCTTTATGCACATTTCTTTGTATATTAAACCACCTCCCATTTTTCCTTCCCCCCACGTTTTTTCCCACCTGTTTTTCAAAAGTTACTAGACCTAGACCACTAAACCTTCATCTCACTTTTACTATATTTTACTTCTATGTCTATAATTGATTTTCTTGTAGCTTCTTTAGCGCCCTCTTCTGCCAACTCATCCTCTGTTATTTCACCATGAGCTTGAACCCAACAGAACTTAACTTCTAATCCCATCATCTGAATGTGACATGGTGCTTGCAATATCTCAATCAATGTATTCTTTCTGCTTTTAGAATGGCCACTCTCTTAAGTCATTAATGAGGAATTTGAATTGGAACATACAAGTGCTTCTAATGGTCTGTTTTTTCTCAACCCATTGCAGTACCATTAGTATTGCCACCATTTCTCCCGTATAAACTGATAGATAATCTGAGATTCTTTTAATAACTTTATTTCTAAAATCTATTACTGTGTATGCTACCCCCATTCTGTTTCCTGTATCTTTAGATGCATCTATATTGAAACATGATTAAAATACTTGTCTTCAAGATAAGTTTGCACCATTTGAATATTAAAATTGCCCTCTGCACTCTTATCTCTACCAGTGATCTATTAATGGGTTTTGGTAGTAACCATTAAGGAGTAATTGACCATGGTGCTGTTGGACTAATGAACATCTTGTTTAGTTCTATTTCTTCAGCCTCTTTTGGTACAATCCACCCAAAACCCTTGATTTCTAATTTTTTTTCCCAACAAGTTTTAACACTTCTGTAACTGGATGATCAAAGTTATGTCCCTGTATATATTTTACTTCTCTTTGTCAGGCTGGTCCTACTTAACCTTCCTGTTGTGTTCGGGTCAAATCTGACCGATTTAAAAGTTAAATCAATCATTAGTACTGTGTTTTACATCTGATTGCCTCAAGTCCTTATGATATCCTCCACACTGTGCATTTGAACATTAGAAATTGATGATCATCTCTTTCATTAAAGTTTGAGTGTTTTAATCAACCTTGGTACACCTGTGGTGTTCCCGGTCAAAAGTGACCGCCATAGGAAATGAATGGGTATCCAGGCTACATTCATTCATCAGACAGAAAACATCCCCACACACACTACCCCAACTCACTCACTCAGACATTTCAGACTGAACAATATCTTTTGCAGATAAACATCTCTTTTACGCGCTTATGTGCTGATCCTCCAGCCTGATCTCACAAGAAAACAACTATTTTACGTTTTGTCAGTTTAGTGGGTAATTCATGAGTTTAGTGGTACAAAATTGTACAATTTGTAAAAATATTTATTTTTAAAAGGAGGCGTGGCACCCAACCCCACCCCTTAACCCAATCAACATTGGGGATAAGCAAATTGTGCAAAACTGTATGAATGAGATCATACAAATTCATATGGATTAGCTACTAAACCAGTAAGTAATGAATTGCCATAAAAGTGTTGTATTCTCCAACGTGAATCAACTTCCTAAAAAAAGAAAAACGAGTGTACACAGACTAGGTGTCTGTTATGTGAATCCATCGGTCTTTCTTTCTGCCAATCTCTGTTCAGCCAATCTCCAAGTCTAACAGGAGCACTTTAAGCATAGCATCAATAATTTTATTATATTAGACCATTATCTCGCTCAAAAATTGCCAAAGTATAACGAGTGCTATTTCTGTGTCCATGCTCACCGTATATACCTTCAGTCACTGTTCCCTATAGTAGTACATGTGAAGGACTGAAAAATCGATCACCCAGAACACAGGAAAGGATAGCATTTTGTTTGTGCTTTGCTGGTTGATAAATCATTAAGATGGATTAAAATTTCATTTTCTTTAGTCAGACCCGGTAATAGTTGTTTAAGCCCACTGTCTAGTAATGAAACAAAGTATTTTGATTTTTTTCATCTATTGTTCATTTTGTAATATATTTATAGCACCTATGTTCATTTTCATTGTAGTTATTTTATGTCTAATTCTGTAAATTCATGTTAAATACTGTTTTAAGACATTGTTCACAGCTAAAAAAAGTTGGTAGAGAAAAAAAGATTTTTGTGCTAACATAAGAGCTGTTAAAACAGACCAGCCAAATGTGGACACTAAAGTAAGCAGCTGGATGTGAACATGGCAGGAGGGTTAAGTGATTTCTTGATTGCGAACAGGTGTGGCAGTAATCAGGCCTGGGTGTGGCTAGAGAAATTGAACTCAGGTGTGATAAGTTATGTTTTAACAAGGAGCAAACACTTTATCACACAAGGTTATGTAGTATAGGATTTTTGTTTTCCCTTAATAAAAAAATCTTTTATTTAAAAAATTGTTTACTCATGTTATCTTTGAGTAATATTTAAATTTGATTACCTGGCGCATTAAAGTGTGACAAACAGGCAAAGAAAAAAAAAAGAAATCGGTTAGAGGAAAACATTTTTACACCATTGTATAAAAGCACTTCTAATAAAAAGTCTTGTGCATCATGTCGAATATGGTTTCTTAGAAATCTACGGTTGTTTTAAAATCTTTAGCTAAAGTGTTGCTACAACACTGTCAAGTGCTACAGTTATCAAAACAATGAATTTCCTTTGGTCAATAGTATGATCCTGCACAACTGGAGTATATATATATATATATATATATATATATATATATATATATATATATATATATATATATATATAAATATTTAAACTCCTGCAACCAAAGGCAGCAAAAGCAACCTTCTTGCTGTTTGGCAACAGCTCTACCTACTGCGCCAGCACGTCGCCTGGACAATAAAGGCTAAATAATTCTAATGAATCATGACTTCTGCTGTATTCATTAGCTTAAAAATAAACACAGATTTCTTTACAATTTAGAACAGCATCTTTGGATATTTTATTCTGCTGAAGATACTGTTGTCCTTAAAACAAAACAAAAATTGCAAATAAAAAATCTTACAATCAAAATTTGAAATGGTGTCAGTTTAATCAATGAAAGCACATTGTATTCAACATTTTGAAACTATAGATTTAGTACTGTATATAAAAACAAAATAAGAATTTATAAAACGTATAACGTACAAAAAGAAGCCTTGTGTACCGTATAAAGAAATACAGAATTTTCTGCACTTGGTTTGCTAGTTTTATCTCAAATGGCATCAGAGTTTAATATACAGGAAAATGTGGATTCAGAACTGTATATATTAAAAGCAAAGGCAAAATCTAAAAAAAAAAAACAATTCTGCATTATGGAGTATAACATTCTGAATAGTTTAGTTGATTTGATACCTTTATCTAAAATTGTGTTGTCGTTTAAAAGATTTTTACTATTTTATTGCCTACATTAAAAGTATTTTGTTTTAAAATGTGATCAAATTTAGTATATGTGTAGACATATCTCGAGAGATTAAGCTTTAAGTTCACATATCTTGTCTCTCTCTGGCGTATTTTGACAGAAAACATGAAAACCACACAGTTAAAATTTATTTGCATCTGTCTGATAAATTAACCGAACGTTCAAAATATCTTCACGGACCATGATCTTTGCTTGCAATTCTGTTTTTTTTTTTTTTTTTTTGGCATTAAAGAAAAATCGATCATTGTGATCCATACAGTGTGGCCTACATTTGGCTGTTGCTGTTGCAAAAACACACCCGTGCAACATGCGACCAGACCAGATAAGATCTGACATTTGCATCGCACTTATTCTAAAGATTTTAAAAAATATATGAAATCTTTGTGTTAAGATTAAGAACTCACCTTATTTCTGACATCATTTTCTTTGCAGAAAAGTATGCGCAAATAATGTTTAAAGATTACTGGCTTACACCGCGCTGTACTTTCAGTTTTTATTTCCTGAGTGTAGATGCATATCCGTTAGGTAACTATTCTGTCTTTGAGTAAGAACGTGTGAACCCATATGGGGATGTTCTACCGACTAACCAAAATTCCTCCTCGCTTACAAATGCAGTCTTAAAATTAGTCTTTTATGCAATTATTTTATTATATCTCATAAGTTTACTCATATATAACGTTTGATAATTGGTAAACTGTTTTTGGACAACATGCAGTTTTGTTTCGGTAGTAACTGATATTTCAGTTGTAGAAAGTAATTATTGCCTGTAGAGGGCAGTGCTGATCGAAATATGTCTGGACAATCAGGACTTACATGCACTTTATGTTTGCTATTGTAAACGATTTGCAATGGTAGGAGGACTTTATTATTTTAATCAATAATGGCCTTGGCTGGGATTTTACCGCACTTTATAAGTACTTAGTTTGGCATGCTCGTTATAGCTACCAAAATACACTCTCAGTTAAAATACTCATGCTGTCTTATTTTATTCAATTAATGATTTCTGTGATGCCATCACATGAACAGTCACATTTTAGATCGTTATTTATTGTTAGAAACTAAAGTAGCAAAAACAATGAATGGTCTGGCGTTAAAAACAATGTTCGAATGACCACAAAACACACTTGTTATTTGCACATTCTTTTCAAACCTGTAATTTAGCATTGGATACAATACATGTAATGTAACGGTTTAACAAATAATAATTGATAACTTAAAACTACAACTAAATTCTTAAAATAATAGACTAAATTATGACTCTCATCAGATAAATGAGAGTTTAGGTGTTCATTTTTGATGAAATCAGTACATAAGTTTGTTAAACATAAGTTTTAATGTACATTTTCTTTGAATAAAATAAAGATTTCCCCTTAAATGTGCTTTGATGTTTTCCATCAATCACTTTTTTAAATGCAATAAACATTGAATCCATATACTGCACAAATATAAGTTTAAAGTAAAAAACAGAAAAATGTAACAGTACTACAAAAGCCTGCTAATTGGTTAACTGTAAACATCCGTTTGCTACTATATGGTGAAGTGTAATTAATCATAACAAGACATTTTACAGCTAAACGCTGTCATGATGGATGTGCCAATTAGTTTTTGAAAAATATCAATTTATAGGTTAATTCATTATTATTTTTTGGTATGTCAAGGAACAAACCTCTCAATTTCAGGATGGTGAATGACATGTACACATTTTAGTGTTCTATTAACTTTTCATTGATGGATATCAGTGTAAGCTGCACAAAATATTTAATTATTCGTTCATTTTATTTTCAGCTTAGTCCCTTTAATAATCTGGGGTCGCCACAGCGAAATGAACCGCCAAACTATCCAGCAAATGTTTTATGCAGCGGATGCCCTTCCAGCTGAAACCCATCTCTGGGTAATTTAGTTTTTCGGTAGGTTGATAAATTAATATTATATCAGTTAACAGAATATTTTACTATGCTTTTTGTTTACTGTAAAATCCCACATGTGACAAAAAGTTACAGAATGAATCACAGTACATCTGAAAGTGCACATAGTTTTTGTATAACGGGTTAATTAATTCATTCATTTTCCTTTGGCTTAGTCTCTATTTCAATGGTCCCCAACTATTCCAGCATGTTTCACACAGCGAATTCCCTTCCAGCCACAACCCAGTACTGGGAAATGTATAATGGGTTCTCAGAGAATAATACAATTTAGGCCCAGATCAAGAGCTAAAACATGTCTTCCACTAATATGAAATTCACAAATGTCTCCATTCCAAGGCATTAGTGAGCATGATGAAAGTGGAAAAAAAAACAGCATGTGAAAATAAAAAGCAGTGAGACTGTATGGAAATGTCTTCCTCTATGTGGGCATAGTTTGGGCTTGCTTCATGCAGATTTTGATGTTGCTTTTTTTGGAATAATCTGAATTTATCCAATTGTCTGTGTTTATGAAAAGGATTTCTGCACGCATTAGCAAATAAGGTCCTTTTAAAAAAAAAAAAAAAAAAGTATTTAAACATCCTTGTAGATGTTTATATTTTACAGTTGATCTCTAAAAGGTTGTGGAGGCATTCATCGTTCTCTTCATCTCCTGTTCCTGCATAGCTCTTGGTGTCTCCGAACATTTCCCCTTTCTTTTGATAAATTAATCCCAGTATTTCATGGGCATCCCAATTATTTGGGTTGGCTTTCAGATGTTTCTTGGCAATGTTCATCAATTTGTATGCACTTCTATTCCCCTCACTACTATCTGGATTCATTGTTAAACACTTCTTGTAATGCTCGATAGCCAAAAGCTCACACCTGTTACTGTACTGCTGGAACTCTGCATAGTAACAATGTACTATATGTATGCACTCATTTTTCTCTTTGGCGGTAATAAATGTTTTTTTAAACAGTCCCTCTGCCTTGGACAATTCATGTTTCTCTCCGTACTGCATTGCGAGCTCACACATTGCAATGATAAAAGAATCCTTTAGGGAAGTTGCCTTTTCTAAATAGTAGATGCACTGATTTCGTGCATTATTTATCTGATGCCTGTCCCCTTTCTCTTTCTGCAAGTCAATTTTCTTAGTCTTGTAGCACATTGCCAACTGATGATGTATGAAACCAGAGTTTGGTGATTTTTGAAGTGCTGTCTCCAGCAGTTCAATGGACCTGTCTACAGATCCTTGATTCCTGAAAAATTTTGCAACGTATCTGGTGACATGTGGATGTTCTGGAGAGCCATTCAGAGCTGTCTCCATTAGTTTCTCAGACTCTTTCATCAACTTTTTGGAGCATAAGAAAAGCCTAAGTCCTAGAAGAGCTCTCAAGGAATCATCATCTGGGTTGATGCTAATGGCCAGTCTCAGCTGTTTGATAGCAGGTGAATCCACAATACAAGGTGTATCCATTTCAGTGCGAAATGGATTCAGTGCGGTTTCAATGCGATACAGTGCTGTGGCATAACCAGCGTTCCACTCACTATTTTCTGGATCCAGTTCTACAGCCTTCTGGAAAGCCTCCACAGCTCTATCATAATACTTATAAGAGAACTTAAGATAAGCCCATCCTTTCTCACCAAGCACCTCTGGAACAGACTCGGCAGGAAACATTTCATGTATCTTCTGAAGCTTAACCAGGTAACTTTCACACTCTGTGTAGTTCTCCATTTGGTAGTTCATCCAGGCAAAATTACCATAAGTGACAATGAGAGTCTTGTCACAATTGTTGCCAAGCTTTTCTTTTATGAGCGTCTCAGATCTTGACAGGTGAGTAAGGGCTTCTTCTTTGTTACCGAGAAGACATTTTGCATATCCTAAAGAACAGTGAGTGCGTGCAACCCCTTCTTCCCTCCCAAGACCCATCTTGACCTGTTCCTCGAGTCTGTTGAGGACATTTGTTAAGTCTAGATCGTCCTTTCGAATGTCCCAAGTAAAGTGACAATCAAGCTGATCCAGCTTCAGTTGTAAGCTGTCCTGGCTGTAACTGACAAGAAAAAAAATCAATTAGTAAGCAAATAAATATACTCACATTTTAAAATCTGCATTGTATGTATATATACAGTATTTTATGTAAAATGTACATTAAATTTACAACATTTACAGAATTTCCCTCCATCTTGACCATGTTCTCAATAGTCAAATGATTATGATCATGATCAATCACATGCAAAAAAAGTATTATATAACTAAATATTTTATGTATATACATATAATAAAGATACATAAACATAATAAATCATATAAATACCTAAACAAAAAATATTTTTCTAAATATATATATTTTTTTATTCAATTTATTTTGATGAATACTTAGACGGAACTAAAATTCAGAAATATTAGCACATGTTTGGATTTAAAATATATGTAGATAGCAATTAAAACACACAAACATATAAAACAAGGTGTTTGTGTGATTTAAACATAAATTATGTTTATGTATTTGTTTTAATTATGCAAAATGTAAAATGGTTACATTTCCTTGTGAGATCAGGCGGTTCCAAACTCGTGAGATCTTCGTTCATATTTGGAACAGAAATTAAGATATGTTGGAAGAAATTTGATAACTTTCTGACCCTACAGAGTAAAGGTCATGAAATAGTCAAAGTCTAGACAGGTAAGATAACACTGTCAAAACATTTCATGTGACTTCAGTGGTTAAACCAAAATGTTATAAATCAACAAAATTATTTTTGTTTAAAAAAATATTCAACAAATTCTTTAGCATCAATATCATTATTGTGTTTCAAAGATGAGCAAAGCTGTGGGTTTGGAATGACATGAGGGTAGGTCTAGTTCAGGGGTGGCCAACCCTGTTCCTGGAGAGCCACCTTCCTGCAGATTTCAGATGCTACCCATATCAAACACACCTGAACCAATTAATTAGGACCTGAACACCACATAATAATTACAGGCAGGTGTGTTTGATATGGGTTGCAGGTTGCAACTGAAATCTGCAGGAAAGTGGCTCTTCAGGAACAGGGTTGGCCACCTCTGGTCTAGTTAATGACATAATTTTCATTATTGGGTGAACCATCCTTTTAGCCAAGAGTTTAAATCTGGACATTTGATTTGAAAAGCAAACTGGGTGCCAACCATGTAAGGATTAACCATGCCCAGACTTGTTTACCCTCTGTAGATAGCTGGGTGCTGCCAATGAGGAAATAAAGTCAGCCATTTATTTATTTTTCTACTTTTAACACATAAATAAACAGTTAATGTGACTTACAGAAATATAAAAGCTATTATGCACTAAACAACATATTAATTTAATATAATACCTGTATTATCGTAATGCATAAGTATCCCCTAAGGTAATTAGACCTATAATCTCCTCCATTCTCAAGTAAACTAAGTTACATTCAAATTTACCAAATCACCTCAATCATTTATAATCTGAATAATTACAACAATCATTAGTCATTCATTCATAGATTAAATGATTGTTTAAAAAATGATCCGAGCGAAATTAAATTGCTAACATTATTAGCACTTTCATAAAAGAAAAAAAATATCCTCTTACTTATTTGTGCTTACAAATTTTGAGTAATCATCAGAATTTCGTTAATAATTAAATGAAACGCGACCGCAGTCTATTTATTTATTTATTTATTTATTTATTTTTAGCTACCGCTGCGTTTTTCTCGATAAGATTTCCAAACTTTCCAGGCTTTGGCAGCACCATCGTGTGTCATTTAGTAACGATTGGTAAGTTAAGTTCAAGTTTACACTTTAAAAATGGGCACTCACCTCTGCTCTGACATTGTTTCCCCTGTGTTGTGGATGATACAGACAGATGTTTTAAAAGCTCAGCCAGTACTATGCAATGCAGCGCAGCACTTTTCAGTTCCTGAATACGTCACCAAACTCACCATGCCCATTCAGTTTCCTGTTTGAGATGCAAAAAGGCAAACTAGCTTTCGTAACAGGCCCACTCATGACACTCTAAATACCTAATTATAGATCTAATATACTTAAATTGTATAAATTAATTCGAATTTGCCTTCAGCCCCCTAAATAATAGGCTATTTTAAGAATATGTCTAATAGTGTACAGTATTTTATAGATCTATTTTACTCAAATATGAAGTAACATTTAGATCATACGAGGACAGATCAGTAAATAAAAATGCATCTAAAATTTTTACCTAGCAAAATACATTTATTTTTTTATATCCAAATAAATTAATAAATAATACAGCCATTTTTTGCTTTGTTATGCTTACTGCATGCTACAAACTGTGACTTTATTGTGAGCACATTAGCCTACTAGATTTATGTCTATTAGTATGGAAATCTACTAATACTTATAAAGCACATGCACAGGTAATAGCTTTACTCTCCATAATCATGATTAACTTACTCAATGCTGATACAACAATCACTTTCAATGAGAAGTAGCCTAATAAGAAGTCTTATTTTATCAGTTCTTTTTTGTTTGTTAGTTTGACTCAGCTGGGTCTGTTCATTAGAGTGTGGTTTGTCTAATACACTTTTAAAATATTTGTAAAAAGTTTTTGTTTTGAAATAGGATGGTATCCGCTGCATAAAACACGCTGGATAAGTTGGCGGTTCATTCCTTGGTGGCAACCCCAGATTAATATAGGGACTAAGCCGAAAAGAAATTGAATGAATGTTTTAAAGTATGAAAACATTTTTACAAAGTCGTGTGATTAAGGCTTTTTCATTACAACAATTCAGCTATCTGTAAAACTGGGTCGGGCAAGAATTTAAGTGCCTCAGAATGCTGACTTCAATTAATCATTGTATTATGATGTACAAATGAATGCCACAACAAAATGTATCATTAATAATTATCGGATCAAAACTTATAGAGACTTTTTTTGTGGGCTTTTAGTAAAATTATCATATAATTAACTGTCTGTATTAATAATACACAAGTTTAAACTGAAAAAAGTTTCTGATCAATTTATTTTGGAATGCATTTTCTGAAGTTTTTGGGAAGCAGGCATAAATTTGCCATTGTAATGTATTGCTTTTTCATTAAGGACCTGCAGCCTGCTAGTTTAAATGCTACATCCATAACAAGAAAGTACAGGGATTTGTTCTCAATGAATACGATGCAGAATTTGTGACAGAATGAAATCTGAAACAGTCAATCCACACCTCAGAATGAAAGAAGATACCCTCTGTGTTATGCTCTCAATGTGACAAGTTAATTATTGAATGTCATTGGGCGAGGCTATCATGCCATCAAGCAAATAGTGGCTCTATAAAGTTTTAAATAGCTTTATAATATAATTTATAAGTGGCTGCTTTAATTTGTTTTATGCAGAGCATGCGATGGCATGACATTACGTCTGATTGTTTGCTCTAAAGAGTTCTAATGTATGGAATACAATACTACATTCAAATACAATGATTATACATTTCACACATCTTTGGGATTGGAATGGAAATTATTCACCATCTATGAAGTTTTTGATCTGTATGAATAAATCCTTTAGACAAAAATATAAAGACAGACAAAAAAAACGCTATATACATTTACATTTTTATTTCAGCTTCTTAGATTTCGGTGTTTAATGTAGTGCTTTTTGATAAAGTAACAGATTATTTAAAGGAATATTTCACTGACAGAAAGAAAAACAGCAATATTCTGCTTTGCCTGACTGTAAACTGTATGGTTAATAACATTGTTCAAAATATCTTTTGTGTTGAACAGAAGAAAGAAAAAATAAATGGATGGAGACAGTTGTTAAGAGACAAACTCTTAATTTTTTTGTGTTGAACTACCTTTAAATTAACACAGAATAAATAGAAAATAATCAGCAAGTCATAAAGTGTCAAAAAGTAGATAACCATAAAGTGCCAGTGATGCACAAATGCATACTGAATACTGTACATCAGATTGTGAAAGCAATAATTTGTTATGACTTTACAGTAAAGACAGTCTGAGTTCCCTGAGGTTTCTGAGGAACTCATTATTGTCTTCATAACTCAAGGCTTTCTCATAGCACTCAATGGCTTGAGCTATCTCTCCTTTTACCTTATGAAGAAATGCTAGCATACCATAAGCTTTCCCTTCCTGCGATTTTCTGTCAATCCATTTCTCAGCAGTCTTCTTCATTCTAGTGGAACTTATCCTGCCTTCAACAGATTTTGGGCACATCTTCAGACATTCCATGTAGTGTTGGACAGCTAATGGCTCACATCTGTGGCAGTACAACTGGTATTCAGCATAATAGTAGTTGACCACATGTAAACCGTCATTTTTCTCTTTTGCAATTTTGAAAGTGACCTGAAACAGCTCCTCTGCCCGAGGTATGTCACCATTCTCTCCATACTGTAGTGCTAGATCGCTCATTGCAGAAATAAAGGAGGTTGTCAGGCTGGTGGCCTTTTCTAAATGAAATATGCACTGATCACGAAGCTGTTGAACTCTTGATCCTCGGGCATGGTGACTTTGTTCTTGCAGAACTTGGATTTTCTTGTACTTGTAGCAAAGAGCAAGCTGATGATGTATGAAACTTGAATTGGGTGAACGTTCAAGTGCTCTCTTCAACAGATCAATTGACCTATCAACACACCCTTTGTTCCTAAAGAATTTCCCAACATATCGCATGACATGTGGGTGATCTGGTGATTTTTCTAAAGCCTTTTCTACCCAGCTTTCAGCCTCCCCGTACCTCTTGTAAACAATCAGTCGCAAGCTTAAGAGAACCTTGAGAACGTCATCATCTGGATTCATCTCAATGGCCAGTCTTAGCTGCTTGACTGTAGCTGAATCTTCTAAAACCGTACTCTCAAATTCAGTACGGTACAGAGCAATGGCATAACCAGTGTGCCACTCAGGTTCTTCTGGTTCCAATTCTACAGCCTTCCTGAAACACTCTTTGGCTCCGTCATAATATTTGCGTGAGAATTTAAGGAAAGTCCATCCCTTCTCACCAAGCACCTCTGGAATCGATGAAAACTCAGCAGGAGATGTTTCGTTTATCCTCTGAAGACTATTTAGGTAACTTTCACACTCTGTGTAGTTCTTCATGTGGTAGTTTAACCAGGCAAGGTTTCCATAAGTGACAATGAGAGTTCTGTAAAATTCATCCCCATGGCTTTCAATGTGGAGCTTCTTGGATGTCATAAGGCTCTGATGTGCTTTCTCGTGAAACCCCAGAAGGTACTGGACGTATGCCAATGCACTGTATGTTCGAGCAAGTCTTTCTTTCTTTTCGAGGTCCAAATTAATCTGCTCTTCAAGCCTATTGAGAAGATCGTTGATATCAATGTCATCTTTTATCAGGGCCCATGTGAAGTGACATTCCAGCTGGTGAAGTTTTGTTCTTAATGCTCTGTCAGCTTCCATACTGGAAACATCTGAAGTCATCCTAAAATTGAATGAAGTTTTTTTATATATATAATATGAAATATATGTTGTATATATAGTTGAAGTCAGAATTATTAGCCTTCCTGAATTATCAGCCCCCTGTTTATTTTTTCCACAATTTCTGTTTAATGGAGAGAAGACTTTTTTAAACATTTCTAAACATAATAGTTTTACTCATTTCTAATAACTGATTTATTTTATCTTTGCCATGAAGACAGTAAAGAATATTTTACAAGATATTTTACAAGAAAAAATACTATCAGACATACTGTGAACATTTCTTTGCACTGTTAAACATAATTTAGGAAATATTAAAATAAATAAATAAATAAATAAAGGGGGGGTAATAATTCAACTGTGTGTGTGTGTGTGTGTGTATATATATATATATATGCAATTAAAATGGTATGTAAATATATCTATTTTGGTCAGCATACATTTAAGTAAAATTTATCCCACATCCATTTCAAACTTGATCTTTTACAGTCTTTGTAAATAGTATTGCAGAAGCTATTAAGCTTTTAAAAACATAGCAAATATAGGCGTGCTCACCTGTTCTTGGACCTCTGTAAGCTTTGCTGTATGATGCAGAACCCGTTTGATTCCGAAGAGAAGCAGGCTTTAACGCTCTCTCCTAGAGATGGGAAGGTCAGACGCAAAACGGAAACTGAAACCTTGGCTGAAGGGAGACTGAGAGAGAGAGAGAGAGAGAGAGAGAGAGAGAGAGAGAGAGAGAGAGAGTTTAAGGCTGTCTCAAATTTTGCTTAATATTTGTTAGTAAAATTGTTTAGTCCAAGTCATGTCAGTCTACACGGTCTGCCTATTTATTTGTCTTTTTGGCCTAAAGACAATACAAATATTAAACTGAATTTACAAATATGAATATATATTTCACTGAATACAGTTCAGATGCAAAAAATATATATTTTCAGTATTTATCATTTTCAATGTAAATATAGTACTGCATCTTAAAACCTTATTCTTTGTCATTATAATTACATTATATGTTATATTATATAACATATTATTAATGTAATATATGTCATTATCATTTACTGCAACAAACAGCATATTTTTTACATTTTTATAGGCATTTCAACTTTGACGCTCTTTTTTTAGAAAATAGTTGGGGTTTTATAGGTTACAAACGCACAAACACACACAGGCCTACTGTACAGTATGTGTAGATGTTTTAATATATTTTGTTGTTTTAATTCATTTATTTTTTCTTTACTCATTTGTTTTGCACTTCCTGTTTGTCTTTTGAATATATGAAGACCAACATCTCAAATGCTTCTTTGACTTTTTTTTTTTCCTCACCACACTTACACTAAGCTTTGTGCCAGCTTGCATTCTTGAAGCCTTCTTTTAGAATCCTGTAAGCTGTTTTAAACTGACTGGCTGCTTTGTCTTCATCCTTTTTCTTTGTAAAGTAAGAACAAGACACAGCATGTGTGGCAGTACTGCTTATTTGGATGCATAGTCTTGTATGACTGATCATCTCTCCATTTAAAGGTAGCTGGTTTTACAGCTGTCAAAGTTCTCAAAACATTCAGACGCCCCACTGCCCTCTTGAGGACAGAAAATGATTTTTAATGCTACTCTTTGCCCTGAAGTAGTCAAATGCTACTCTTTGCCCTGAAGTAGTCAAACATCTGGTTTCCAGTGGGACATTAAAATACAAGTGGAGGGCATCTTTATTAAAATTCTGGCTTCTGCTAGTTTCAGAGCAAAACATACCATGATCCCTGTGTATGTAAAGTCCAAAATTTAGCTTTTTTTTTTTTTTTTTTTTTTTTTTACAGTATGGGTGGAATGGTCGCATTACAGCAAGAAGGTAGTTGATCCGAGTCCCAGCTGGGCCAGTTGCCATTTCTTAGGGGAGTTTGCAGTTTCCTTAGGCTGCTCCAGTCAAAAACAAATCCTTAGGCTGCTCCAGTCCAAAGACATGTGCTATGAGATAATTAGATAATTAAATGGCCATAGTGTATGAGTTTATGTGTGTGTGAATACTACAGTGTATGGTTGTTTCCCAGTACTGGATTGTAGCTGAAAGGGCATCCGTTGCGTAAAACATATGCCGAAATAGTTGGTAGTTCATTCCGCTAGAAACCCCTAATAAATAAGTGGCTAAGCCGAAGGAAAATGAATGAATAAATACAGTGTTATCTTAATATAATCTGTGTTATAATCTAATAAACTATATTCTGGTCTACAGACATGAAAATCCAGGGCTAAAAATTACCATGGGAGACCCCTGGAGAGGTGCAAGAACAGGAAAGGAGATTATAGGCAGAACTGTTTGTATAAAATCCTTCCCTGCAAGGTAAGATTATAAATGTATTGGTATAACTTGACACAATAAGGCATTTATTTGTATACAGATTACATATAAATATAACATTAAAATATCTACTGAAGAGCAAACAACTGCTGACATTCTGCTATGTGGTTTTGTAGGCTTGTTTTAAATAGGTTCTCTTGGATTAGTCAGGATTTGAGTTTTGGAAAAAGGCAATTTTTTTAACTAAATGTTTTGTTTATAACTCTGTTATTTACAATAGGTTCTATTCAGACTCCTTCCTCATTCAGTGCTTCAGGAAGTGTTTTTCTGTTTATGTGTAAGATCTGTTTGCACAAAAACGAAAGTAAAAGCAGATCGATAGGTTTTGCTTTCCTGTGAAAAGAGAAGAGAGTTGAAACACAAAGTATGATGGTACTGCTGTATGCTGCTCACAGTTTTTATACTGACTGACGAATTTCATGTCTTGTTAAGCAAATAATGTTTGTAGTAGTAAAGTATGCAAGAAAAAAACGTTTTATAACAAATACGTATTAGCCTTATAGATTAAAAACGTAAAAAAAAAAAAAAAAAAAAATATATATATATATATATATATATATATATATATATATATATATATATATATATATATATACATCCACATTTGTCTAGCAAACAATCACACCTAAATGTATAACTAAAACAACAATGCTAAATGACCCATGTCGAAGGAGCACTTGCCTGATATAATCAGCAGGCGGCAGTGTTTACTTGATAAAACTGGAATATTATTCAGTCATTCATTCTTTTTCCTTTTGCTTAGTCCCTGATTTATCAGGGGTCGTCAAAGCAGAACTACTTCTGGAACTACAACACCAACTGGAATATAAACTATTTTCGTTATTTATTTTTTTATCATTGCGAGATTACACTTTTCATTTGTAATAATTTTATATAATAGTCCAGTGTTTTAGTGTTCCACAGTATTTAGATGAAGTCATAAAACTTGAATAATTATGTTACAAAATACATTATAAAAAGAATACTATCAAAGAATATATTTTGTTAATTTGTAGTGAAATACTTTTTAAATGTGACTATTGAAGTAACCACCCTTTGCGTTTTAAACTGCTTGTCCTTGGTATACCCGTGGATAGTTTTTCAGGTAGCTTTGCAGGTTGGTCTCTTGGTCTTTAAGATGTTGTCACCTCTTAGTCATTTCTTTTTTTAAATTTCCTAATGGTTTTCCAGATGGACTGGATGATGGTGAGATCAGATCTCTCTGCGAAGCACCAGCTGGTGTGCATTGAAATATACCACTGAATTACTGTAGTACAATTAACAGGTATAATAAAGTTTGGACATTTAAACTGACATTCATGCTTCACAGACCATTCATGTTGTTGTTGGTGGTGGTGGTAAAAAAAAAAAAAAAAAAACTAGAATACTGGTGTAATACTTTTGCACTTTATGATCTGCTATTTGCAGCAATTATTTATTGTTGCACATCATTTTTTTCATAAAGTTTACTTGGTAAAGTGTTATATATGTTTTCATAGCATAATAGTTTGAAAGCCTATTGCACAAAAGCCCACTGTAATTGTAAGCATATACTTACCTTAATTTTGGCATCTACAAGAACTTCTGTTTAATTTGATTTGGAAATTGGTGCAGGCTTTAATATTCTCTCAGATAGGGATAGGAGGAACAAACTCAGAATGGAAAATGTAATCTTGGAGAGCCAAAGAGAGAGAGAGAAACATTTGCCTCAGTACTTGCTAGTAAAATAAAGGATGATTTTACTCTTAACCATTGTCCGTCATTTTGTGTCTGGTGAAATATTTCTTCTTCATATTTATTTCAGTCAGTTACTGTCATTTTCAACCAAGACAATGACACAATGAAATGAAAGATTATTTTATTTATTTTACATAGATAGATTTTCATCATGGATGGATGGATGGATAGATAGATAGATAGATAGATAGATAGATAGATAGATAGATAGATAGATAGATAGATAGATAGATAGAAAGCTGAAGTACTGACTACACATTTGTACTCAAGTAAAAGAAAAGAAGTACGACCTCAAAACAAAATTAAGTAATTAAGTAAGTTAATTACTACCACATTTTAGTTTCCCTATGTAGGTAAATAACCAGTTTCCCCCACAGTCCAAAAACATGCAGTATGGGTGGATAGACTAAATTGGCCCTATAGTGGCCCTATAGTGTAAGTGCATGCGTGAGTGTGAGAGTGTATGGGTGTTTCCCAGTACTGGGTTGTGGCTGGAAGGGCATCCGCTGTGTAAAAAAGTAGGAATAATTGGTGGTTCACAAGACTGTGGCGTCTTCTGATAAATCAGGGACTAAGCTGAAGGATAGTGAGGACAGGTAGAAAACTATACCACACATTCTATTCTATGAAAGTAGCCAAGCAGCATCACACCCTGCAGTATGGCACCAACATCGGTCAATAAGTCGGCCCATGTATCATCATCCTGATGCAAACTCACAGTGTCATCATGTAGTTTTGCGGCTGTTAGATCAAAAACAACAGCTGCCATTCATGTTCACACTCTAAAAAATAATTCTGTAGGCCTGTCTATCTTTATAAATAAGGTCTTACATTTTACACTGAAATCTGTCCAAAATATATATAATTTTTTTTAATTTTGTATTTGAATATTTTTTATTGAATATATTAAAAAAATATTTTTGACTCTTTTGAAAATTAATTGAAGACAACAATATAGGCCTATATGTAAAATCATAGGGTCAATAAAAAAATTAAAAAAACTGTTAAACAGTTAAATTTTGTATTTGGTAAAATATCAGCTCGTCGGAAATAAGTTCCAATGCATATAGTTTTTTATAAAATATTTGATAGTTTTAGAACTAAATGTACAAATCTTTAGAAAATAGCACTTTTTTTTAGAAGTATTAGATCAAAGACCAGAGAAATCCCGTGCAGATGATCGGAAGTGGACAAAAGATTTCAACCTTAAGTATTTAAATTGCATATTTTTGAACTGGGACGTGTCTCTCTTGTTTACCTGTGAACTGTTCGAGCAAAATAAGTCTTATTACCGTGTAAACAGGACAGCAGCATCAGTTATGTTAAATTCGCAATCTCCCTCTGTCTCATCCTGCCAAGTCATCCCTGCCTTTCTCTTAATCTTCATAAACTAAAATACATATGGCGCGTCATAACCTTGGTTGAAAAAAAAACGAGCTCTACTGCAGGCAGGCGCGCAGTGGTGAATAATAGATTGACTGCATCAAAAATACGCTCAAATTGCGGAATGACAAGAATTAATATAGATCATGCCACCAAACATATGAAAACTAAAGTAACGAGCATGATTTACAAATGGAAGGAATAAAAAGTACAGATATTTGTGTAAAAATGTAAGTAAAAGTAAAAAGTTGTCAAAAAATGAAGTACTGAAAAATCTACTTAAGCACAGTAACTAAGTATTTGTACTTAGATAGCCTACATCTCTGTATATTAATCAGGGGTCGCCACAGCGGAAATAACCACCAACCTATCAAGCGCATGTTTTGCATGGCGGATGCCCTTCCAGCTGCAACCAAACATAGAGAAACACCCATACACTCTTGCATTCACACACATACACTTCGGCCAAGCAGACAGCTTAACTAATTTAAGCTAAAATAGGAGTTAAAATTCAAGTCTCTTCGCAAAGTCTTGGGTCAGCTCATCAGTATGTGAGGAGTGCTGCTGGGCTCTTTGCTGATACTTTTTTGCTTGCGTCTCCTGCCCTTTTTCTGAAGAAATTAAAGCCAAAATTTCAAGTGCTTCTTTGACTTTCTTCTTGTTGTTGAGATTCCTTTCAGCAATCATTTTGAGCTTCTTGCCAGCTTGCTTTCTTTCATAGGTGTCGACTGGAATCCTGAATGCTAGCTTGAACTGACTGACTGCTTTGTCTTCATCCTTTTTCTTGTAGAGCAAGAACAAACCGTAGCTTGTGTGGCAGTGCTGTTTTTCAGATTCACTGAGAGTGTTGTCATCTATCAACTCGCAAAAGATTATCTCTGCCTCTCCAAGTTGCCAGCTCTCCCCAAAGGCGTCTGCTAAATTAACTTTGGCATAAATATTATTAGGCTTCAACTCCACAGCCTTTGAGAAGTACTGGATGCATTCAGACACTTTGGCGGCTTTCTGAGCAGCAGAAATGCGACTTCCATGTTTCTTCTCTTCAAACATTTGAATAAGCTGCTGTTTATGGCAAAGGCCGATTTGATGATGCAGGAAAGAAGAGTTTGGGGCCAACTCTACTGCCCTCTTGAGGACAGACAGTGATTCTTCAATGTTGCCCTCTGTCCTGAAGTATTTGGCCACATAACTGGTTACCTGCGGAACATCGGGAGACAACCGGAGGGCCTCTTTTATAAGATTCTGAGCTTCCTGTCTCTTTGACCCCTGGAGTTTCAGAGCCAAAAGTACCATGATCTCAGAGTTTGCAGGCTCGAGGCTAAGAGCCTTCCTAAGCTGCGCTATAACTTTTCCAGGGTCTTCTGCTTGGGTCATGCCATGTAACCTGTAAAGCACTATTGCATAGCCAACATTAAACAATTCGTTATCTGGTTCCTCTTTAAGAGCCTTAGAAAAGCTCTCTTTCGCTTGCTCATAGAATGTTCGACCTAGTCTTAAAAAGCTCCAGGCCTTTTCACCATGTATTATGGGCAAGCTACAGGAGTAAACGGATGAACCCGGTATGTCCTTGCATATACCATTCACCTTGTTCAAGTACTCTTCTGCGTCATTTATCCTCTGTAAATAGTAGTGGATCCACGCAAAGCTGGAAAATGTTACCAAGTACTCAGTTTCCTTTCGCTGGTCTTCCTTTAATGCTGATTCAGCCTTTTGAAGATAGTCCAGTGCAGTGTCTGTTTTACCTTCCAGGTGACTGATAAAAGCCAGAAGGTTGTAATATGTTGCATGATACTTCAGTGGACAAAATCTGATTCTGTCATGAAGTTTTTGCAGAATGCTGTTCAGGTCGGCTATGTCTGATTGTTTTACTCCCCATGTAAAAAGACACTCCAGTTGCCTGAGCTTATCCTCCATGTCTGTACTGCTGGAAGCATGAGAGAAAAGAAATCATGGTAATTGTTTTATATAGCAAAATCCAGCCCTTAGAATGTTCAAGATATGTTAAGTATTATTACATTTTATAAATAACAAAATTCATGTATGCAGTTCGGCTTATATATGCAGTTAGGCAAGCTAATAAGATTATCAACTGAAAAAGCACAAATGATGTTGACATCGTTTCCTGTGTGTAGAAAGATTTGCTTAAAACTACACATGATGACAGGCAAAATGCTAATTTTAAACAAAACGTTCAAACAACAGGTCTTATTGTTACTCCTACCTCACGTAGTGTTCTTTCCGTCCAAGCTGTGTAGGGAAAGATTCGATGTCACAAAAGCGAAAGTAAGGATAAGTTTCGTTTTCGTATGGGCTGTTAGTGTTAAGAAATGAGTCTGCCTCGACCCAATTTCCACTTTAGTTCACAAGCGTTTCATGCTCCTTTTAAAAGAGCCTAATTATCACAGAGAATTCCTCACTTGAAGTATTTAAGCATTTAAATAATGCCTTTGGAGTTTGGAATGATAATTTAATTCTTGTGACATAGGGAGCGGCAGCACAATGGTCGCAGCCACGATGCAAGACAATCTGAGAGTGCATAACTCAGCGATGCAATACACAATGCACTCAAATGGAGCGAGTGACACTGTGAGGGGTAGGGTTAGCGGTGGGGTTAGGTAAGCCCATTTTACACTGCACTGCACCAGGTCTGCATCCAGACCCCTCTCCCGTAGGAACTCTGTTCCTCATTTATCATAACAGTTGGTATCCTCACCTGAAAGTCTACTCAAGATCTGGGAACGGAAGAGTATCACATTTATTGTTGTTCTCAATTTACATTCAAAGCGAACCTTATTTTTTTTTTTTTTGCAAAAAAACAGTTGACAAGTTTGTAACAATATTTGTTTACAATGCAGAATATGAATTACATTGTCAATGAAAAGAGATAGGAGAGAGAAAGACAGAAAAATAAAATAAAAATAAAGAACATGATATAAACTTGAGGGTAAGACATTTAAGAATCAAGAACAGTACATAAATTAAAGTCATTACAAAATGAAATAGTTCTGTTTGCTTTCTTATTTTTAGATAATGAAATTAATTGTATGTAATGACTAAATTCTTGCAAAAACACAGGAAAATATGGTTTAGTATTAGTAAATGTGCATTTGTGGATATGGAATTTACAAAGAAAATAAATTAAATTTATAACAAAACAAGCATTTCTCTTAGTAGGGGCAGATTCATAATAACCAAAAACAATTTCTTTAAAAGTAACAGAAACATCTTGTTGTATATTATCATTAATAAATAATCCAATATGTTTCCAAAATTGTACAGCATAATTACACTCCCAAAATAAATGAATAACAGTTTCAGTATGAAATTGACAAAATGAACATTTTACATCAATATTAGAATGAAACTTTTTCAAAAATTGTTTTATAGGATAAAATTTGTTGATCAATTTAAAAGACACCTCTTTGACCTTGTTGGTGAGAAAATATTTTTGTTGCAAAGACCATATTTTTTCCCATATCAAATCTCTATAGATATTATTCCAATAAGAGATTACAGGGGACAATGTAGCAACTTTTTCAATAAAAAGAGATCTAATTTTGTAATTTCTATCTTTTTTGTTTGAAAAACAAATTTTACCCACAAATGTTTCTGTCGGATCAGAAAGGTACACTTTTTTAGGAGTGAGATGAATGGTACTTTTGAAGAGCATAGTAATTCCTGATGTTATAGCTCCCATAACAATGGCGAAATTTTTTGGACTTACTGGTATGTTATACTCGGAAATAAATTCAAAGTAATTCATTAAAAAACCTCTTTTGTTAAATAACTGACTAACTAAAAGCAAACCGTTGTTAAACCAATCACTGAAAAACAAAGATTTATTTTTATATAAAATATTTTGGTTATTCCAAATAGAAAATGTGTGAGGAGTAAAATTATGTTTATAAATTAAAGTCCAGGCCAGAAGTACTTGTTGATGGAAATTTGAAAATTTAACAGGAATTTTGGTTATGTTATAATTACACATCAATAAAAACTTAATGCCTCCAACAATAGAAAATACCTGTTTTGGGAAAATATTCCAAATTGAGTCTTCTTTATGTAGATACTGGTTAAGCCAATTAATTTTGAAAGTATAATTTGAAGAGCAGAAATCAATACAGTTAAGACCTCCTTTATTATACGAATTTATTATAACAGTCTTTTTCATATAGTGGCATTTATTTTTCCAGACAAAGTCTGTTAAAGTTTTATCAATTAGTTTGCATGTAGGCTTATCTACGTACAGAGATTGAGCTGCATAAGAAAGACGAGACAGGCCCTCTGCTTTGGTGAGCAAAATTCTTCCTTTAATAGACAGATCTCTTTGAAGCCAACTATTCAATTTTCTTTTAGTTTTTGCAACAATTGGATTAAAGTTAGCATCACATCTATTTTTATCGTTAGTTATATTTATGCCAAGGTAAGATACTGAGTTTTTAACAGCTACTCCACAAATTGAGGAAACACCACAATTTTTAATGGGAAGTAATTCACATTTATTTAAATTAAGATTTAAACCAGATGCATTGGAAAATGTTTGTAGAGTATTTAATGCAGCCGCCACTTGAGATGAATCTTTTAAAAACAATGTTGTATCATCTGCTAGTTGACTTATAATTAACTCTGTACTTCCAATAGTAATTCCTTTTAAATTACTCCTTTTGATATGTAAATTAAGAAACTGTACTGCAATTAAAAACAAATAAGGTGATACTGGGCATCCCTGCCTTACTCCACGATGTAAAAAAAATCTTGGGGAAGTACCACTGCTTAACTTAATAGAGCTATTTATGTTTTTATATAACATTTTAATCATTTTACAAAAAGTAACACCAAACCCAATTTCTTTAAGCGCTTGAAATAAAAAACCATGTTCTAAAGTGTCAAAGGCTTTATAATAATCCAAAAAAAATATGAAACTGTCTCCATCAATCATATCAGAATAGTCTAGGATATCTAAAATTAATCTTATGTTATTAGATATATGTCTATTTGGCATAAAGCCTGACTGAGTTTCATCAATAATAGAAGGTAAAATTACTTTTAATCTTTTAGCTAAAACTATAGCAATTATTTTGTAGTCGTTGTTCAACAAAGTTATTGGACGCCAATTATCTAATAAATTTCGATCTTTATTTGGTTTGGGGATTAGCGTAATCAAACCTTGGCATAAAGTAGGTGGGAGAAAAGAGTTATCTGTACTTTCCTTATAAACACTTAACAAGAAGGGAGCAATATTTTCACTAAACATATGGTAAAATTCTGAAATGAAACCATCAGTGCCAGGAGATTTATTCCGTTTTAATGATTTAATTGCTTCTTCAACTTCTGTTAATGTGATTGGAGCTTCAAGAAAAGCCTGATCAGCATTCTCCAATTTTTTTACACAAGATAATGTTTCGAAAAAATCTAAAGCATTTTGTTTATTAAATTTAGAGGTGTACAAATCATTATAAAACTTAGCACAAAAATTAGCAATAGTCTTCTGGTCTTCACATATTGATTGATTAATTATAAGTTTTTCAATTAGATTTTTTTGCTGTTGTTGCTTTTCCAATCTAAAAAAATAAGAAGAATTCTGCTCACCTTCTTCCAACCATCTTTTCCGTGATCTAATAAATGCTCCCTCTGCTTTTTCCTGATAGATTTGATCTAATTTATTTTGATAATGGGTAAATTCAACCTTTTCACTATCAGACAAAATAGTTTTAGATAGAAAATCAGAAATTTTGCATATTATAATATTTTCATTTTCTTTTCTTTCTTTCGCTAATTTACTGCTAAATGTTCTTAAAAACTTTCCGATTTCATATTTTGCTAACTCCCAATTCTTTCCAAAAACATTTTCCTCGTTTGCTTTTTTCCAGTACTTGCAAATTATAAATTCGATTTTTTCATTTACTTCTTTATAGTTAAGCAATGAACAATTCAATTTCCAGTAAGAATTGATTCTACATAAGTTGGCAGTTTCTGAAAAAGGAATAGTTATCGAGATGCATCTGTGATCAGAAAAGGGTGATGGAATAATGTCTGAATTAGCCTTATTTAAATCTCTTGAGATAAGCCACAAATCTATACGGGATTGTCTGGAAAGAGAGTTATTTCCCCATGTGAAACATTTTTGATTAGGATGAGTGTCTCTCCAATTATCAACTAAACAGAATCGTTCAATGAAAGTTTTAAAATAAAGATTTGAGTTATCAGGTGATTTTGGAGGCCATCTGTCTAACCTATTATCCAATGCAACATTAAAATCTCCGCCAAGGATTAAAAAAGCATTTGGGTATTTAGTAAGTAATTTCAAAATGTGTTGTTCTATTAGATCAAGAAGTTTTTCATTTTCTTTTTGTTGATTAAACCCATAAATATTAACAATGATAAACATTGATTTGGATATTTCAGTTACAAGACAAATATAATGGCCATTTATGTCACATTCAGAGCAAATAATTTTCCCATTAAATTGATTTTTAAGGATGCAAACACCAGCTGATTTGTTTGTACCATGAGCCATCCATAAATCTAAACCCCACTGAGATCTCCAAAAATTATAGTCCTCTTTTACAGAATGACATTCTTGCAAAAAACAAAAATCAGTTTTAAACTTTTTCATATACAAAAATATAGCTTTTCTTTTTAGAGTATTTCTTAACCCTCGTGTATTAAATGAAATTATAGAAAGAGACATAACAAAGAAGATATAACCTAGAATATTAAACTAGATTATTCTCGAAAAAGGATTTGCAAAGCTTCATTCAGAACGATGAGAACTGCAAACTCTATATGAACTATAAAAATAATGTAGTGTTAATTAAGGTGCATAAATTTTACATCAAAGAACAAAAAAATTTTTGTAAATCAGATTAAATTACTAAAGTATAGAAGCTACTCAGTTGAACAATTTTACTTTAGCCCATAAA